TAAAAACCGATGCCATAATATTTAACAAATTATAACAGTTTGAGTCCCATGTAAGTTTAAAACTCCACCCTGAAACAGATCTCAACCACCCAAGATCTAACTCATCTAAATGTGTGCCAGGTGCATGCAAAAATCCCTTCCAGCTTTTGGCTATCAAGCCTTAATTTTGCCAGAAGTCATGTAACCCCTTTTATGTATCACTGAACCTCAGCTGAGGATTAAGTTTATAGACAGACATGAACAGTAAGGCCAGCACTAGTGAAGCAAAGGAAACAGCAGGCTGTTAAGTGTCTTAAAATAGTGCCAACAACCCACAGAATGTTAACTTTAAACTTTTAACTTCAAGTCAGGACCTTTGGCTCATTCAGTCTTGCCTCCAGATACCAAAACAAAATACACAACTTAAGGAATCTCAGTGACTATCCCCTCTTCTTTATTTGCCTCTACTGATTACCTCAGTAAGATTCAGTCTTTCTTATACACTGATGTAAATCACCCAAGTCAGATTCCTGAAGCAATACTGGTCATCACACCATCTGGTCAATCAGTTGGAGCTAAATTCATAAAGCTCAAGCTCCACTGTGTCAGATTTCAGAGGAAGTGCTTTGAGAGAGTTTGTTTGCTTGTTTTGAAGTCTCCTCCAACAAGGACTGACTTCGGCAATTTCAGAGTAAAGTTTCTGGCTTAATGTCAACACCATCGCACCATGCAAAATTTCAGAAATCTAGGCAGGAAGTCTTAATGAAGTCTGTGCAAATCAGTTACCGGGGAACATATGTTTTAAATGGTTAAGACAATCCAGCTGTCCTTCCTGAACAAAAGGTTTAATATCTAGCAGAAAAATGTTGGGTCATTTAGACCATGAATTAAGTTTTCAACTGTCAGTACGAGATGTTCAAGACACCCCAAAGAGATTTGAACACGGTATTGGAGGAGCAATGACAACAGACCTATGGAAGAAGAGACTCACCTATAGCAAAAGAATGAACATTCGTACACATTCTGCTAACCTTTGACTCAACCCTGTGTTCTTCTGTACAAATGGAAGAGCCAGAGAGAACAGTGAAGGTAGCATGTCCAAACACACACCCATCCACAACAGTTGCAGAAGTTTCTCAAGTTTAAACAAAAGAAATTTCTACTGAACTTTGCAGGCAGCACTTGAACCAAAAATGAGGTTTATTGCTATTCTGGAGGAAAAAAAAAAAAAACTCCAGAGGTAGCAATTTAAGAAATTCAGTAGGGCTGAATCAAAAGATATCAGGAAGTATCAAACCAAGAACTAAGAATCCCATGAAGTGTTTCACTGTAGGAGATTAATTTGTCTCAGCAGTGATTCTGCTCAGCCCAAATAACTGGGTTTCCAAGTTCTGTGCAGTACCTCCATGTTAACAGGTATAAACTTTTTGGAGTGACATTAGAAGACTGAAAGCTATTGCAAAACCACATATACTTGCCATCCAGTTCCTCTGTACTACATCTAACAAATTAATCCTCAGTATAGATTTTTATATTAATGTCCTCTTGATTAATAAAGCTATCACTTTAAATCAAGGCAACTGTTCTTCTAAAGTAGGTTCTGTGCTTTGCAAAGTTAGGAATAATTTAATTCGTTCCATAACAGTCTATAAAAACCTGAGTGCTCTCTGTTCAGAAGCATACTATTTATCCACTCCCAATCAGTACAAGCCATTTTAAATACAGTGCTGTACTACTCCTGGCATACAAGTTGACAGTCACTAATTAAAAGTCAAAAAAACAATGACTTTGCATACGTCTAAAGCAAAGTTCAGTGAAAGAAACTATATAAAAAGTCTTACTTCAGAAGTGAGAATAAGCTTGACTGTCTACAATAATGACTGAAAAAATAAAAATAATAACATTCCAAAACTCTAATATGGAAGTTAGCAATACCAACAATAGTTAAAATTTATAGCACTTATGGCACTTTTAAGTGTTCAAATATATGACTTAATGCACTCTTCCACTTCTGGTTTAAAAAAAAAAAAAAGTCTTTTGCAACAATTTCAGCAGATACAGAAGTTCAGCAAAGAAGCTGTAAGCACAATAATATCAGTAGCTTAACAAGAAACAGATTCATGGTGCAATTGCTCTATTTCTCTATTTGGAGGGTCAGAAAGGCCCACATTACATAAAAAGACTACATCAATTCACAGAAACATAGCTGCTGCTGCACTGAGTCAGTGGCCTTTCTGCATAATACCTAGCCTTAACTGAAACATATGAACAGCTTAGGGAGCTTCATTTCTCCCTAGCATCTTACATTTCAGATGATGCAGGAACATTCTGTACCTAACAGTTCACTAAAATGTATCTTTATAATAAGGGAAATAGTCACCTTTGTTTCTAACCAGCTTTTTTGAACAACTGAAAGTTAAGGAGTTTTCTCACATACAGCTGCTATTTCTTCACACAAGAGATTAATGAGAATCATAACAAAAATCACCTAATTTCCTAGAATAAATTCAGTATTTTTTAAACATTAAAAGACTTTTGCAATTGCCAGCTATCAACATCAGCAGAACACGAATTTGTTCTTATTACCGATGTGCCTTGTACATAAATAATTTGCTTGCTTTCATAGTTTTGTACCATACTGCTAAGAGAAATACACACACAGCGCAGTATCAACAACACTGTACACCTGTTGAGACCTCTGAACTAATGCTTTTCAAGTAAAAAGTGACGGCAATCTCTGGTTGTATAGGAGATCAGCTCTGACTAGGCCTGTCAATTGTAACCACCACCCTGAAAAATGAAGTTGAAAGGATGTCTTGAAAGGTCAGGAAAAAAAAAAAAAAAAAAAAAACAAAACAAAACCACGTGTATTTTGTTTGTCATCTTGAAAATTTGGCAGTGACATAGGGTTGTTCTACTCTCACTCAAAAAGATTATCATCCAAAAGCATGAAACCATCAACTGGAAAGAACTACACAGAAAAGGAACTTCCTAAGCTCACCTTTTTTTTCCCCCCCCCCTCTAAACTTAAGTCAGAGGTATCACTTCATAAACTCAAGAATTAACATTACTAGCATTGCAACTTACTAGCATTACGATGTTCACTTTGAAATCTGGACTGAATAATACAAACTCAATCACTCCAAACATACAAATGACAAAACAAATGCAGAATCTGAGAAAGCTTTGCTTTTCCTAACTAAAACAAACCTCCTGTATAAGTGAAGTTGCCAAGTAATGTTTATACTGAAAAGAGTTATATTTGCACTAATATATTACTATGTAGTGTTATTTAAGAGTTTCTAGTTAAAGTATCACAAACACCTACATTAAGAAAAATTATCAAGTCGTTCGAAACTTGTCAGAGTTGAAGATCGCTATTATTACAAGTTATAGAAGTAGCCCAAACTTTAAAATGTTGTTATTAAGCATTTGGAATTTACGTAGTCACAATAAAATAAACTAAGAATGAAAGCAGGCAGAATAAACACCCTCCCATTTTCCTGAGGCCAAAAAGCCTAGCCAACTTCAAAGCTGGTTTCTGGTAATTTTTCATTGCCGTAATGAACATGTACAAAACTTATCTATAAAGACATTGGAGCCTCATTATACAAGCATTAGAAACTACTTGGCATAACCATTTTCCTTTCTGCATTCACCTACGGTTTTTCCTGCCATAAACTCTTCCAGTTAAGTTCATCTCGCGTTATCTACTCCACGACTAACTAAGCAGTGTTCTAGACTGAATAAAACAAGCACAACAGGCAAGCACGGTTATTCTTCACATAAAGTTTACACATTGAAAACAATACTGAATAATCCTAAATAATAATAGTGAAACAATAGTGAATAATCCCAAATTCTCTGTATTTCTCCTTCAATGGAAAAAACAAACAAACAAAAAAAGACCCGCAAAAAAACGGAACCTAGCATATAAACGTGCCTTATTCTTACAAGCCGTTTGACCACCCATCCATCATCGGTTCCCTCGACTTATTTATATAGGATACTAAAATACTGACATTGTGGACTACGGAACCGAGAAGCAGGAAGTTTTGTCATCTCAACCGGGAGCCGTCAAAACGTCAGCGAGGTAAAAAAAAAAAAAAAAAGAAAAAAAAAAAAAAGCAAGCAGCAGGGGGTGGGGTGAAGGAAATCGGCGAAGAAACCGGGATGAAATTATGTCCCACTTCGTTATTCCTGACTACCAGCAGGGTTACAGCACGGCAGGTCCAAAGCCCAAGGCCCATTTTCCAGCGTGAAAGCCCCCCGGCTCCCCGGCGGCGGGGGGGGGGGGTGGCGTGCGGGACCGCCGTCCGCTCCCGCCGGCCGGGGGCGCTGCCGGGGCAGTCCGGCGGCGGGCTCCCCTCGGCCGCTCGGGGCCACCCAGGAGCGGGTGAATTTTGCAAAGACAGCGGGCTCAGCTCGGGTCGCCTGCTAGGACCACCGCCTGCGTCTCTCCTGCCCCCGGAACGAGGAAAAACGGTTCGCGCCGCCACCGGCGGAGAGGCTTTGTCGGGACTCTGGGGAGAAAAAGAGCTTCGCCTTTCGCGGCCGGGGCCGGAAAAGGATAAACATGCGGCACTTCGCATGGCCCGACTGAACAGCGGGTCGAAGCAAGCCACCGCAGACGTTCGCCCCGCGGCCGCCCGGCCCCTCACGCTTGCCGCTAGGAGATCGCGAAGGAGAAGACGACAACAATAACAACGTAAAAGCCACATCAGCATCTCCTTCGGGACTCATAGCGATGGGGGGGGACGACGGGGAGGCGGGGGACGGACACAAGAAAGCAAGCGAACAGGTCCTCGCGGTGGGCGGAAAGCGGCAGCGGATCCACAGCCCCTCACACTGCGGCACCGGAAGAGCCCGGGACCGGAGCGGGGACAGGCGGGAGGGGGAAGGGCGAGAGCCAGCAGAAAGGGCCCAGACGGGCAGGGAGCACGGGGCGCTGCGAGGAGAGCGCCGAGTAAGGGCCGGCAACGCACAGGCCTTCAAAACACTCCGCGAGCTTTCCAACTTACAACGGCATCGTCTCTCCGGCCCCTCCTCCTCCTCCTCCTCCGCCGCCGCCGCCGCCGCCGCCACCACCACCGCGTCGTCCCCTTCTCCCTCCTCCTCTTCTTCGTCCTCCCCCACCACTGCCGCCTCCGGACCGGTCACTCGTCCCGCCAGCAAGCGGGAATCGCGACCATGGTACGGGCCGGGGTCAGGCCTTAGAGGGAGGAAAAAGCCGCTCGCTAGGCCCGGCCGCCGCCGCTTCACTTTCCTCTTCCCCTCCGGCCTTCTAACATGGCGCCCAGACGCTACCACAGCAACGTTCTAGTCCGAGGGGGGGCCTGACGCAGCGCCGCGGCCACCCCCGCACGCCGCGCACGCTGGCTCGCCCACGCATGCTCAGACGGCCGGGAGGCCGAAGGGCATCCTGGGGACTGTAGTTCCGGGCGGGGGGGGGCCGAGCCGGAGTTTGAAAACAAAGCGCCAACGGCTGCGAGGTGGTGCGGGCGGGCGGCCAGGCGCGGGCCGC